AAAAAAAAAAAACTAAATGAACTATGCTACACTACCCAAGTCTTTGTCATCGGACACAACTAAATGAATTATGCTACACTACCTAAGTCTTTTGACAAATAAGGGTCACAAAGTCACATGCATCAAAAGAAAAATCATTTATTACAAAAAAAAAAGTTCAAAATTACCATTATGACCTTATTTGATAATAGGTAATGAATTATACAATGACGGATATAAAACGGGATATAGAAATCCTGAAAAAACAGATAGATGAATTATTTAAATCTGTCCAACAACAATCTAAAGATTCTAAACAAGATTTAGAACCAATAGCAGCTAAAATAATCAATGATATTAAGCAAGAAATTGCTCAATGTCCTTGTAAAGAAGAAATTAAAAAACAGAAAATAATTCCTAATGAAGGAAAGAATGTACCTTTTCTGAAATACTCATATCCTAATGATTTAGTAGGAACTGAAGAATTATGAAGCTCAGGAAATCCTAACGCCTTTAAATGGCCAAAAGATGCCCTGAAAAAATGAATTTTCAAGAAAAACTTGAGAAAAATCTCTGGAATCTAATCAATTTAGATTTGAATGAAAAACAAGCTATCCAGCTTGAACATACAATTCGTTTCTTAGAAATGAATGAGGAACAATGTAATTCAGATTTAGAATTAAATTCTGAAATGAAAAAATTGTTAAAACTTGATGAAAATGATCAATTTTATCAAATAGAAGAAATTGAAACTGACACTCAGTCAGAATCAGAAATAAACTTCAATGATGAGGAAGAACTTCTGAAAGAAAATTTTAGAATAGAGAGACCAGAATCATCTAGAACAAAAAATGATCAAGACATGAATACTGATGAATTTGAAAGAAAACCATCAGTAACTCCTAGGCCACCCAGGTCATCTAACAACAATACCGATATTCCTGGTATTGCTGGAGAAGTACATACAGCCTCAATCCAAGATTTAGACTGTAAGAGACCTGAAACAATTAATAAATTAATTGATAAATGGGGAATGGAAATGAGTCTTGTAATTAATCTTAATCCCAGTGCTTTCAACATAGCACAACTTGTGTTAGCACTTGTTGAGCATAGAATGCTTGGAAATGCACAAAATTTTATAAAAAGAGTTCAATGGGATACTCAAAATGTAGACCCTGCAGTTATGCTTGAAAGCATTCTGAATAGTCTATATACTTTGTTTTTGGGCATTGATCGAGTATCAAATGCAGAAAATGAAAAACTTATAGAACAATCTAAAGCAAAGGTAAGATTAAACAATCTGACTCTTTGTGATATTTGCTATATTAATGAATTCAATTGTGATTTTGAAAAGAATCTTTTCAAAATAGATTTTGGAGAACATCCTGAATACATTAAAATGTATTTAGCAAAAATTCTTATTGTAGGAAATGATGCTTCAAAGAAATATGAAACAGCTGAAAATCTTATGAAGTATAGTTTTGGTTATGCCAAAAGACTCGTAAGAAAGGAAATTGAAAAAATTTGTAATGCTACTACCAAGCAAAAACAAATGATGAAGTTCAACAAAAATTGTTGTTCTAAAATTTCTGAGAAATCTACAGACTATGGTTGTAAACCATATAAAAGAAAATCAAAGAAAAAATACTTAAGAAAGTATAAGTACGAGAAAAGAAAAAAGAGAAAAACTTTTAAACCTGGTAAATATTTTAGGAAGAAACAGAAGTTTCAACCTAAGAAAAACTTTTGTCCAAAAGGGAAAAAGAATTGCAGATGTTGGATCTGTAACATAGAAGGTCACTATGCAAACGAGTGCCCTAACCGACAAAAACCTGAGAAAGTAAAATTTCTTCAGATTGCAGAATCATTTGGTCTTGAACCAATTGAAGAAGAATATTCAGATATTGAAGAATTCTATATACTGGAAAAATTAGAAGATGAATCCTCTTCAGGAACATCAAGTACAGAAAACAGTGATACAGAGTGGGGATAACCTCATCAGTATTACAAACCCGAATTCAATATACATAAAAGGTAAATTGAAATTCGTAGGTTATAAACAAATGGAAATACATTGTTTTGTGGATACAGGTGCTAGCCTTTGTTTATCTTCAAAACATATTATTCCTGAAGAACATTGGGAAAATGCTTCCAGAACACTGCAAGTAAATATTGCAGATGGAAGTTCAATCTTAATAAATAAAGTTTGTAAAAATTTAAATATAATGATAGCAGGAGAAATATTTCATATTCCAACTGTTTATCAACAAGAATCTGGAATGAATTTTATTCTAGGAAATAATTTCTGTCAATTGTATGAACCTTTTGTTCAATACAATGATAGGATAATTTTCACAAAAAATAATCAACCTGTACACATAGGGAAATTGAGAATGGCATACAGGGTTAGAAATCCATGATATTTAGATTCCATGAAGAAGAAATCTAAATCTAAAAAACCTGAACCAGTTCAAATTACTACGGTTAAAATATCACTTCTTAAAGAGAAGGGAAAGAGGTTATTAGAGTTTAGGAAAGAAAATGAACATTTTTGTCCTTAATCAACAAAAAATTTCTATAATAGAGAAATTATGGAAAAAAGTTTGTGCAGAAAATCCACTTGATCCTAATAAGACCAAGTATTGGATGAAGGCTTCTATCAAATTGAAAGATCCTAAAACCGAAATTGTGGTGAAAGCAATGAGCTATACACCTAAAGATAGAGAAGAACTTAATCAACAGGTTCGAGAAATGCTTGACATGAAAGTCATCATTTTTAGTAAGTCACCTCATAAATCACCAGTATTTTTGGTAGATAAAAAAGGAACTTCAAAACTAAGAATTGTTATTGATTGTCGAGAGGTTAATAAGAAAACAATTGGTGATGGTCATAATTTACCAAATAAAGATGAACTATTATCTTTATTAAAAGGAAAAACAATATTTACATCTTTGTAAATCAAGTTTTTGGCAAGTCCTTTTAGACAAGGAATCCAAATTACTAACAGTTTTTACATGCCCACTAGGACATTACCAGTTTGTGGTAGTACCTTTTGGTTTGAAACAAGCTCCATCAATTTTTCAAAGACATATGAATAATGCATTCAGAAAGTTTGAAAAATTATGTTGTGTATATGTCGATGATATTCTCATCTTCAGTGACACAGAACAAGAGCACTATATGCAAGTTGCAGTAGTTCTGAAAGAATGTGATAGGTTAGGAATAATCCTGTCTGAAAAGAAAACTCAATTGTTTAAAACTAAAATTTAACTTTTAGGATTAACAATTGAAGAAGGTTTTCACAAACCTCAAAATCATATTTTGGAACATATCCATAAGTTCCCAAATAAACTTGAAGATAAGAAACAGTTAATGCGCTTTTTAGGTGTATTAACTTACGCTTCATATTATATTCCTAAATTGGCTAGTATAAGAGCTCTTTTACAAGCTAAATTAAAGGAAGACCAAAAATGGCATTGGTCAGAAAATGATACTAATTACATGCAGAAAATAAAGAAAAATATAACCAATTTTCCTTTATTGTATTTTCCAAAAACAGATGATCAGTTGATTATTGAAACAGATGCATCAAATGCATACTGGGGTGGTGTTTTAAAAGTATTATCTATAATATATATGTCGATATGCTTCAGGAAGTTTTAATTCTGCTGAAAAGAATTATCACTCTATTGAAAAGGAATATTTTGCGGTAATAAAATGTTTACAGGATTAAGGCTCAACAGAGCACATAATCAGTCACAGGCGATGACAATAGGGAGTTGCTTCCCAGGCATGATTTATGCTTGATAAAGAATCATGTATAAAGGATGAATTACAACAACTTCAGTTGCAAGAAGGACTTCTAGTCCAAGAACTTGAATTGGTTCGCGCCAAAATTAAGTATGTAAGCTTTTTTAAAGCTGAACAAAAAAGAGATTCTACTGTCTCTATTCCATTAATGGAACAAACGAGTAATGTAACAAGCCTAGCTTGTGAACAAAAAGAGGAAATTTCATCTCCTCCAGATTTTATAGATCTTGAAGGTGAAACTAGTCCAGAGCAAATGGCTACTGGTAAAGACTCATCAAATCCGTTAATAGCTAGCAACTTGCTAAAAGCGGCAATAGGTATTAAATTACCTACAACGTCGGATAATTCTAATGGTTTAAACCTCAGACCGAATGGTGGAACCTCTGTTCCTAAACATATAAAATCACTTGATAGTGATAAGGGAATTCAAATCCCAAATAAAAGAGACACAACATATTATGTCGTGTTCAATGGCCCAAATGCAGGTATCTATCAAGACTGGGAGATTATAAAAAAAAAAGCTACATTCTGGTGTTTCACACAAGAAATACAAAAGTTTCTTTGAGGCTCGTATTGCAGCAGATCAGTACTCGAGAATAAATGTAATAGCTCCCCTTGAGCTAATTTGCACAGCAGATGGACTTCAACCTAACACATTTACTGCGGCCTTAAAAAAGCCCAGAAACCAGGAAAGGCTCCAAACTCTTGGAAAACTTCCTAAACTTCCCAAGAAACAAGAAGCCCAACAAGAAGAACAGGTCATTCCGGTTCAACTTCCAAAAGAGGGTCTCGAATATTGGATTAACCTGGCCCAAAACTGTGGT